TTCAATTTTTGTACTCATAAAAGAAATATACCAGTGTGTAAATGTACCATCTTTCATTATTCACTGATCAGTTGATGGGCATCTATGCTATTTCTGGCTATTTTGAATGCAATATCAATGAACATGGGTTAGCGTATAACTGTTTCTCAGGATACAGAGTTCTTTGGGTATTAGGAGCAGTGTGACCAAGTTTCAAATAGCATATGAATGCTTGCCCAATGGGTCTCCATAAGACAAGATTTGTGAAGATGGTCTTCACTTGGCAAGAACCAGTGAAACTAAGGACAGCACAGAAAATGTCAGGGCTCCTGTAGCCTAAACAATCTCTTCTTTTTCATAATATTGATTATTCTCTTGGTGGTTTTCAGTTTCACTTCGACAGTCACACATTGAGCAGAAGTAATCATTCCTTGAAACCACATTTTTTTTTCCTCTGATATTTTCCCCTAAAATTCTTTGGGAACTGATACTTCTCAGGTTTCTTATCTGGAACTACCAGCTGTGACTCCAGACCCTGAGAACTTTTTTGATTCCATGCTGACAGGATCAGAGTCAATAAAAGTTAGCAGGCACATATGACAAGGCAGCACAGAGAACATTAACTATGTCTCCTAACTCTGGGAAAAACATGCAGATGCAGAACCCTTTTGTAACACAAGGAAACAGTTGGAGGAATAAAAGATAGCTGCATTCAAGCAGTTTATAGCAAATTATTCCTATTTCTGTAGATATGCTTTGTTAAGTTTTGAGCAATAATATAGTTCTTAAGAACATATGCCTATGTTTATCACCTTTAGCTTTGTAAGAGAGGATATTCCTGGGTTGATATTTACCCAAGTTAACCATTACTTTTGGTTTAAAGCAGTTTTGATGTAAAAGTTGGGAAAATCTTATTTGTTTTTGCTAGAAGTTAATGCTGGAGGGTGAGAAAACATGTTTGTTCTTGGCTTATAAATGAGGATGGCTTGAGATATTCAAGGTTGCCACTTGTGTGAAACTCAACTGGTGTTCAGACACTTTTTTCTTTGCACCTTTCCTTGTTCCTTTTCTTTGTCCCTTTCCCTTCTCAGGACATGAACTTGACACAGCAGGACTGAGTATGTTGAATATATGCTCAGAACTGTTAAACCTTTATTATATGTTTGACCTATGTCTAACTCTTAAGAAACTTCCACAATAGCTGTACCAGTTTGAACTCACATTTACTGTTTTCCTTAGCTTGCATCTCTGCCATCATTGTATTCATTTTATTTTATATAGATTAATTTCCTGAATTCTCATTTGTTAGTTATTGCTCTTGGTTCCCATACTATTGGAGTTTTGTTCAGAATGTACTTTCGAATGTCTAGATAATTAAAGTGTAGGTGTCTTTGTGTTTGAGTGTGTGTGTGTGTGTGTGTGTGTGTGTGTGTGTGTGTGTGTGTGTGTGTGTGTCTGTATGTGCCTATGGAGTCCAGAATGGATTTCAGGAAGCTTGAGTTACAGGTGGTTGGGAGCCACCCAACATGGCCAATGAGCACCAAAGCCACCTTCCAGAAGATCAGTAAGACCACTTAACACAAGTCATTCCCCTATCCCTACTTTATTTCATTTAGACAAGGTCTCTCACTGAAACTAGAACTAAGCTGTTGGACAGAAAGTTTCAGTGATATCCTGTTCCCTGCCCTTGAGAGATAGGGTTATATTTGTGAACTGGGCCAAGTCTAGATTTTACCATTGAGATTGCAACTCAGGTCCTTATGCATGTGCAACAAACTCTTTTCTAGGGTTAACCACCAACCCATCCTTAATATTCAGTAGATTTAATCAAGAGTCATATTTCACTTAATATGCAAGTGTCATAGCCTTAAAAGGGTAGTTATACACAGTTTGGTAATGTCATCAAAAAATTTAGGCACAACCCCATAGTACAGGTTGATATCAAGAACAATCTGTGAGGATTAAATATCTCCCTTAAAATTCATGTGGATATTTCATGTCTAGTTCATATTTTTATATGGTAATGTATGGGACCAGGTAGAATCATTTGGATCTTCTTGAGTTATGCATGGTGAATGAACTGTCCACTGAACAGTCTATTCACAGGTTAGTTTGTCACTGGGCTATCTAAAGAGTAACTATCTTATAAAAGTAAGTTTGCCTCTGTTTCTCATGTTTGTCTCTTTTTTATTCATGAACTATATAGCATTAAGAAGGTATAGCATCTCCAGAGCTCAAAACTCACCAAATACAACTTCTTTATTTGGTTCTCACAGCCACTAGAGCTGTGAGATTAATAGTCTTTTATTAATTGTAAATTCCTTAGCCCCATAATTGGTTTTTAACCACAAAACAGAATTTAGAAGAACATTCAAACTAATTGGAACTTTAGGGAAAATGAATATGTGCTAAACTGTTATATGAAAATAATGAGTATATTCTCCCTCCAGAGATCTCTTTCCCCTGAGTCAATACTAGGAGAACACTGAATCATGAATCATGTACCTAAGGCAAACATGTAAGAGAGGATTTTAAATCTTGTAGGTTTAGGTTATTTGCCAGGTTGCCTAATACCTGCCTACATAGTACTCAGTTTTTATATATGAAATGCTATTGAAATATTTTGCTTCACACTCAGGTTTGTACGAACTTGCATATCAAAGAAGTTTGCATCTTATATTCAATTTGCTCTATTCATTATAAGCATACTTTTTCTAGATACACTATGCTTAAGAGCATAGAGACAACAATCATTGATTTTCATAATTAGCTTTCACTGTTGGATTGCTTTTAACAACTATCCTTTGTTTTACTTATCATAAGAAATATATACATCAACATACCTTAAATATTATTATTAAGTCATATTGACTAACATATAACAGACTTAATTTACTAATATATTGAAATGTAGACAATTTAAATAAAGACAGACCTAGTATGAAATATGAACAAAGCAAAAAATATGACTTGGAGACTTGGATTGAATAAAGATATAGCAATAGAAACAGAACCCTTTAAGTAGAATGTGCATTTTTGCTTTATCCCTCCCTGATTTGGAAAAGAAATTCTCATAATATTGGTAATTTACTTTGAGATAGTTTTATATATTCATATATGGTTTTGTCTTTAATTCATAAGGCATTCTGCTAAATTATCTTGAAGTGCTTTCTACTTTTTCATAGATGCCATACTGTTATGAATGTATAATCAGTGTAAGAATCCTGTTTTTGCTAGTGTTTCCTGTGTCCTGGTGAACTATCACTCAAATTTGCTTGAATTTAACCTTTGAGAAATCAAAACACAGTATCTTGTATCTTTTTTCATGATGGATCATTCTTGGTATCCCATAGCTGGATGTGACTTTCCAACCACCAGTTCTTTGTTACTATTGAAACAGGAGATAGGAAGGAAAAGCACTCACACATGAAGCACTTACACTCTATTAGGTAAAAGGGATAATGAGCTGTAGATACGTACACAGCCTACATTCAGAACTGATCCTAAGATACCAGAAATTTTTTATTATATTTAATAGAATTTTGCAACTTGTAAAAAGCCATATTCTACGACATTTATTTTATTTATCCATTAAATTTATTTTCCTATTTTGAGACAAGGTTTCATATAGCTCAGGATGTATTAGAACTCCCTATGTATCTCCAGATGACCTCCATAGATCCTTGTGCTTTACACTATGTGAGTACTGGGATTACAAGATTGAGTCACCTTCCTCAGTTTGTGTGATGCAAGGAATAAATACAGGTCTCTGCCTTCTAGGCAAGTACTCTGTGCTGTATCTTGCAAGATTATTTATTTAGATTTCAGAAAGATTTATTCACATTGTCACTCTTTAAAATGAATTATCTACTAGTTGAAGTCTTAAATTTTCATTAATTAGTCTAACAATGTGCAATCATATCAAATTACCCTGAGTTACTTTAGTTTGGTGCCTTTCCCATGATCACAGAGTAAAATTTCTTCCTAAATTGAATGAGTGTAAAGTGAGGGCTTCATTGTAGATAAGAGTCCATGTATTTTCCCTACAACAATGAGGTTTTCTCTCTTTATAGTTTCATACTTTTCCTTTAGATTAACTAGCAAGAACTTATGGATATCATCCTAAAAATGCTTTTCAACATTGCATGATACTGCAGGTTGAACCAGAGTCTTGGTGGTAACACTTTCTTAAGACGTGGCATTTAGCTATCAGAAAGCTGGATGAGTCTATTATTCCATTCATCATCCTCCTTAAAAGCTATTTAAAGTTCTTATTAGATGGAATTGGTATTACACTTTGTTTAATATGAATATCCATTACTTTAGTGGACTATCCATCATTAATATATTGTCTATATGTAGTTCTACAAGTGCATGTATGTATCAATGTGTGCTATAAGTTTTTCAGTTAAACAGGAAGAATAAGAGAAATGCTGTTCTTTTCTGCCCAACTCCTTGTCTTATAAATTGTCTAGGTGGGTTGTGTCTCTCTAGAAACTAAGACAATGTAAGTTCTCCTACTGCTACTCAATGAAAAAAACTGCAGAATTTTTGCCCTCCAAAATATTAGTTACAACAGCCAAGATGCTCCTGTTTCTTTAGAAATATAAACTGTAAACCTGTGTTGAAGATGCAAGCCTGTAACCCTTATCACATGGTCAGGGGAGGCAAGAAGATTTTAAGGTCAGGGTCATCATTAGCTACACACTAAATTTGAGGCTTGCCTGAACTGCATGAAAGCTGATCTCTGCTCCATAAAGAAGAAATAAGATGTGAAATGTGAAATAATTTCTATGAAATAGTTATTCATACTATAGATATTTTGTGTTGATGAGTAGTAATAGATACATTTTAAAGTAAATTTGCAAAATATATAGGAATTATATGTGAAGCTCTGTTAATTATTTAAAAATATTAATCTATACTAAAGAATGCTGTGTTTAGAAAGTATTTATGACTGCAAGTAGCTCTAACTCATTTATTTCATTTTAGTTTTACAGAATTTTATGATTTATATTAGCAGAAGTGAGAAGATGCTCAATTTCACAGATGTGACTGAATTTGTCCTTTTGGGCTTAACCAGTCGAAAGGAACTGCAAGTTCTTTTATTTATTGTTTTTCTCTTGGTGTATATTGTAACTATGGTGGGTAACATTGGCATGATGATATTAATTAAAGTCAGTCCACAACTTAGCAGCCCAATGTATTTTTTCCTCAGCCATTTGTCATTTATTGATGTGTGGTTTTCTTCAAATGTCACACCGAAGATGCTGGAGAACTTGCTGTCAAAGACAAAAACTATTTCTTATGCTGGATGCTTGGTACAGTGCTTCTTCTTCATTGCCCTTGTGCATGTGGAAATCTTCATTCTTTCTGTGATGGCCTTTGATAGGTACATGGCCATTGGGAAGCCTCTGCTTTATGGTAGCAAAATGTCAAGGGTGGTCTGCATTCGCCTCATTTCTTTCCCCTACGTATATGGGTTTCTGACTAGTCTAGCTGCAACATTATGGACTTATGGCTTGTACTTCTGTGGGAAAACTGAGATCAACCACTTCTACTGTGCAGACCCACCTCTCATCAAGATGGCCTGTGCAGGGACTTTTGTGAAAGAGTATACAATGTTATTCCTTGCAGGCATTAACTTCACATATTCTTTGATTGTTGTCATCATCTCCTATCTGTTCATTCTCATTGCCATTCTCAGAATGCGCTCAGCAGAAGGCAGGCGCAAGGCATTTTCCACCTGTGGGTCTCATCTCACAGCAGTTGGCATATTTTATGGTACCCTCATCTTCATGTATCTCAGACGACCCACTGAAGAGTCAGTGGAACAAGGAAAGATGGTGGCCGTGTTCTATACCACAGTGATCCCCATGTTGAATCCCATGATCTACAGTCTGAGGAACAAGGATGTCAAGGAAGCCATGGACAAAGTGATTAGCAGGAAGTTCTTAAGAAAATAAACTAAAAAAATCTTTTTCTTATTTTGTTTTGTATTATTTGTCAGAAAAATGCATGTTATTATGTCAAAATAGAACAGGAATCTTAAGACTATATGGATAGGAAGAAAAATATTTCACACAGATCAGATAAAAGTAAAATGAACTGAGAAATACTGATGAATGCATTAAAATAAATTCAAGTGTATATAAAATTTGAAATGGCACAATATTGAACTTAGAGGTTCACTTGGTTAAATGTTAATTTGCTCTGCTGGAACTAGAATATGTTCTTTCATATTAAATGTGTATCATGTGAGTCTATGCATTTTTATCCATTTAGATATTGATTTTTGGAGACATCAAACAACATATTTAAATTATAATACTAAGGAGAATACAAGTCTGTTTTTTTCTGTCTTATCCTTATTTGATTGTTCTATTTCACAACTTCTTAAAAAGTGAAAAATCATTTGTAATGAGTTTTGAAATAAAATCATGACTTTCTAAAATTCTCTCAGTTGTTTTAGCTATAATTGATTTCTCACTCTTTTTCCATACTTCCAATTTTAATATTCATGTGGTCAAATATCACAATTCTCACATTTCTTCTCTTGAACTATGTTTAGACTGACTAAAGGACAGGTAGAATTGAATTGTCCCTGTGAGATCAGTTCTCTGGAATTAACTTACTAAACCAAATTGGCAGTCTTCTAGAATATTTTGGCTGTGTATTTGTATGATATGGTCCCATTGTATTTTAGATGATTTTTACATTTGAAAGAAAAATTTCAGGATTATCTGTGTTTTAACAACTGTATTGGAATCTTTCAAATGATGATATATGTTTTTATGTATTAACTTATATAGTACAAGTGTGTATGGTTAATTTAAGAACTAACTCTATTACAATTAATTTTCTTAGAAAATCAACTTTGTTGTGGTATAGAAAAAGTCCAACTGAACAAGTATTACTTCTTTTCAAAACTTCATTTTCTTGAGCTATTATATATTAAATGATATATTTTTCTGCAAAGGTGTTCCTACAATGGAATTTCTTCATAATAGGTATGAAGAATTTTAAGACATGTGGGCTCTTGGTTGTTGAAGCATACAGAAGCACAATTTGCCCATGTACAATTCTTTTCTCAACTTAGCAGACCAAATTGATGTAGAATATATTTTAGAGTTGATGGACCTTATTATTTTCTTCAACTTGTCAACTATCTAAACTGGGTATAAAGATATTCCCTCATAATTATTTTACATGTGAATATTTTCTTCATCATGAGGATAATACTAATCACAATGTCATAAAGAAATTCTAATGTTAAAATATGTTGAAGTGAGGTTATACAAATAATTACATATTTTTAATTTCTTCATAATGCAATTAGTGTTAATAGAGATGGCTGTCCTGTGCTATCTGAGTTCATCATGCCAACACTATGAAAGCTTTCTCTAATCTTTATCAATAAGACTATCAGTAACAAAAAAGATATTTGTACAAATTCACAAAATATCAGTTATGAAAATAGATATTTGTACAAATTCACAGAATGCATTAAAACTATTTTGATTATAGATGTCCTTCACTTCATATTTCATTTCCTAATTTACTGTATGCTTGTAGTGCTATCCATTTGTCCAAATTCTGCCAAGTAACTTACACTTTGAACCTAACCTCTTTTGACATCTGAAACTGACACAAAGATACATCTAGCATCCACTGTTGAAGTCATCAATCTGCACACATATATTTAGGATCTATAATTGACATTTTGTGGAGGAAAGTGGACAAAATCTTGTGCCAGTGGGAAACAAGTGAGATGATGTCAACAATGCTGACCTCAGTTTTGAGAACTGTTACTCTATGAAGTTTACTCATTTTCCACCCAGGAGATGTTGTTTGTGTTTCAGTCCCTAGTTCCTTCATAATTATTTTGGGAGATTATTTTAATGTTCTTAATGAGCAAGACTATGTCATATATATTGAGAAATTACCATTTTCTGTTCTCTTCCCCCTTCAAGGTAAGTAAGGCTATATGTTTTAGGACAGTTTCATTTAGAATGATAGTTGGATATAGTAATTTTAGGTGATACTTTCAAGGAAAAATTAATAATATTTTCACTGACTTACTTGTTAACATAGAAATTTGTCATACTCATTACTTTTTAATACACATGAATGGACTTAGAAAGTGATTGTAATAAATAATCCAGTTATTTATAATTTTGTTGTTTATATTTATGAGAAAAATACAATGTTAATATAATCAAATTTCCTGTTTATAAATTACACATTCTACTGTTTTATTAGATGATACTCACTTATGTAATAAATTAATGTTTCCAAAGACATCAGTTGTCATCAGAATTCAGGGCAGAATAAAGGAGTAATGTCTTTTGTCTCTGAAGCCTAGACATCTTTAGAGTTATAGAAACCCAAATTAGTTCATAGACACTTAAGCTTAAATTTAATGTTTTGTTCTGTCTTAGAGAATAATCAGCAATAAATTTCAGTTAAAATTAAAGTGTTATTAGGATATGTTATCAAATAAGTTTGAAAACAGTTCATTAAAAGCTCAAAAGAGGTATTAAGTTAGTTCCTTAGCCCCATGATCTTTCCAGTTAGTAGACATCTGACCCAAGAAGATCTAAATCTCTAACTGCTTCCATTCCTTGATTTATAAAACAGAGTTGCAGACAGAAAACTTACAGCATTATTCATGAAAAATAATTGGCTTTTCATATGAATATTTTAAACCTGGTACTGTGTCACTAGACATTGTGTGTGTGTGTATGTGTGTGTGTGTGTGTGTGTGTGTGTGTGTGTGTGTTTGTGTGTGTGTAGTCCCATATAGTCACTAAGTTAGGAAGTAAGGAATTCCTCAATCAAGAGAATCCCTGTTACAACGGAGCTGTAATTGTACTGAAAGAACACACATTTGATCCTGACTGAACAATTGAGTCAGTGTATGTTTATTAAATGTCTTGATGCTGTAGATTATATATTCATATGTAAAATTGGTGTGCTATTTACCAAGTATTGCCAAGTTAAATTCTAAGGAGAAAATATGGATTATTTACTTTAAGCCAAGGTTTTTACATAGGAAAGGGCATGACGTCAGCTGTATTCTGTAAACTAAGGAACCTTATACTTCACTAAGATATTTGTATATTGTCAATGTAGTTTCAGTGATAAAAATTCATTTGTATATAAACATTTTACCATATGCTTTTTGTATCAATATCATCAAATTTTCATGTTCCTCAAAATGAATATGGAATTTGTTATTCATGCTGTTATGATTCTGCTATTCATGCTGAAGTCATGATTTTCCAAAATCTATGACTTAGGAAAGATTTGCATATTAATTGTCCTAAGTGTTAATATTCAACTCTTTTTCTTTTTATTTCTCCATCTCTCATAAAATATATCCTCACCACAGTTTTTCCTCCCTCTTCTTACAAGTTAGGGTTAGGGTTAGTTCAAATTAATCTGTAAATTACCTCATAATACTGAATTAACAGAAATTCCTTACAGTTTGAGTGACTACATGTCAGTGTTCATTATATGAAAGAGTAATCATGTAGTAAAACATCACTATGGAAAACTGGATCTTTGAGTTTCTGGAGCCTTTATCATTCTTACAATTTATAACATTTAAGATTCCTTCACAACAGATTAATTACAATCCTGGATGTGTATACCAGGCCACCCTATATCAGACTTGAAAATTTAGAAGCTTTCCTGTTACATGATCAAACAAATCATTTTGCATATAGTGTATTTAATTCCAGCAGTAGACACTTGAAAAAATGTGCATCATTCTATAAAGTGCAAACACTAGGATAGGAAATTCAATCAAAACTTTTAAGAATGAAAACATGTATTTATAAATATGTTTTTCTTTGCAGGAAGCATATACTCAGTATTAAGGCAATGCCAAATTTTACAGATGTAACAGAATTCCTTCTTGTGGGCTTAACAAGGCGTCAGGAATTACAGGTACTATTTTTTGTGGTGTTCTTGGTCGTTTACATGGTCACTCTCTTGGGCAACATTGGTATGATAATTTTGATCAGCATCAGCCCTCAGCTTCAGAGTCCTATGTACTTTTTTCTAAGTCATTTATCCTTTGTAGATGTGTTGTTTTCCTCCAATGTTACCCCCAAAATGCTGGAAAACTTATTATCAAAGACAAAAACAATTTCTTATGTAGGGTGTCTGATACAGTGCTACTTTTTCATTGCCCTGGTACACGTGGAGGTCTATATCCTGGCCGTGATGGCCTTCGATCGCTTCATGGCCATCTGCAACCCTTTGCTCTATGGCAGCAAGATGTCCAGGGTTGTCTGTGTCCGCCTCATTTCTGTGCCTTATGTCTATGGATTCTCTGTGAGTCTCATTTGCACACTGTGGACATATGGTTTATATTTCTGTGGGAACTTTGAAATCAACCACTTCTATTGTGCGGATCCTCCTCTCATCAAGATTGCCTGTGGAGGTGTGCATATCAAAGAGTACACGATGATTGTTATTGCCGGAATTAACTTCACATATTCTCTGTCGGTGGTTCTCATTTCATACTCGCTCATTGTAGTTGCTGTGTTGCGCATGCGCTCTGTTGATGGCAGGAAAAAGGCGTTCTCCACCTGTGGATCACACTTGACAGCTGTTTCCATGTTTTACGGAACCCTTATATTCATGTATCTCAGAAGGCCAACGGAGGAGTCCGTGGAGCAGGGAAAGATGGTGGCTGTGTTTTACACCACTGTGATTCCCATGTTGAACCCCATGATCTATAGTCTCAGGAACAAAGATGTGAAAGAAGCAGTCATCAAGGCAGTCTCCAAGGTCAACTTGAGGAAATGACATCGAAGCGGAGCTTTTATAGCCCTGTTAATTCTAATGTATGTGACCAAGCACAAAATCCCTACTTTGGATATCTTTCTGCATACAAACTGACAGATCCGGCTTTGCACAATAGTGATTCACAGCGTGACTGTCCCTTGTTAAG